TTTGTAAACTACAATTTTATTCGTATACATATACGTTCTTTGTTTCTAAACCTAAACGTTCGGACTTCAATAACTACAGAGATTTGATTATTGATCTGTACACCAATAATTGTCAGTATATATTCTCTTGTTTAGATGAAAGAATCGCTTTCTCTTGATGATGACTTTGACATTTACCATTTCTTAAAAGTAAGTACCTAATGCGATTGGAATATGTCTTTCGTCATGATCAAGCTGCCTCGTTGGACTATTTGCCTCGACGTTTCCCAATTTCTAAGGTATACAAAAAAAATAATAGCTGCAAATTAATTAACGTTGTATTCGCGCGAAATAATGTGATTATTACATAAATTAAATGCAAATTGAATAGTTACGCGCTCGTTAAACAAGATTAACGTTTTTGTGCCAATTTCAATGCTCGAAAATATATGTATGGGCGACAATTCGGTTTCCATTAACCTTTCGTTGCATTCTAGTAGATTATGCGAATTAGTGCGACTTTAATTAAGCAAAAATGTCAAGTCTAATCTGCATCCGTTGCATAATCGCGGACACTTTGTTTTCAATCAGTGATCCGTGATTATATCGAAACTTTTTTTGTTTTATCGACAGGTGATAAATAGTTCTAGTGTACTCGAAGGATGTCCTCTTGGACTAAAATGGGTGATGAAGATTTTCTCCTTCGACTGAAATTACGACGGCAATTACTTTTTTCAAAGACTTCGTGTTTCCTGTACTTCTTATTAATTACATGCGCTTTCTTTGGCTCTGGTATCTAGAGGACTGCAATCTCAAGATGGGCAAATCCTTAACTGTTTCTTCAATTAAATGCATATGCATATCATTGTACTGTCTTATTAAACTATACTTACTACTAGATTTCACATGAATATACATCAATTAATTTATACTAGTCACTTACATTTATGTACATGTACTTTATAGAAATTTAGTATGTTACTTGGCAAGTAAATATGTAAGCCATTTCAAATTATTTAGTATTTGATAAGTAAGTTTTATAAGTCACAAGCATACAAATACAGTTATTAATACTAGAAATATACTTATTTGCAGTTATTTGGTAAAATTTACTTTATATGAACTTGGTATGTTTCTTGGAAAGTATCAAGTAAATATATGTATATATTATTTACTAGTTCATAAGTAACTTTTATAACCCACAAGTACACAAATATAGTTTTGGATATACTCTGTTTTGGTACAAAATGTTACTTAAGCGGGGACTACTAGTACTTTTCTATATTTATGTTAAACTTACTTTGAAGTTTAACATAAATATAGAAAATGATTATTTTATACAGAAAATTTATCTTTTTTTTTAATTTACGACAAAGTAAAAAAAAATAATACCAGACTGTTGTTGGACTTAATCTGTCCATGAAATATATTATTATCATATATGAAAGACCACCCAACAATCGAATTGTGCAACGTTCTTTATTAGAGAATTTATTGAGTATGGTTTGTGCAGGATTATTAGACCACAACGCACACAATCCTTCAGGTGTATGGAGATACTATTAACATTGCAATGTGCAGCATTTTGTATGTTGAGCAAGCATAAATAACTATTGGAACGTTGCACAGTATGAGTTGAAAGAAAAATTGCATATAAATCAGACAATTGGTTTGTTTATTGCGAAAACATGTAGGATAGAATACAAAGTTCACATAATTTAAATATATTGTTATTTTTTTTATAAATAGTTTTCAAATATTTAAATGTCATTTTGATCTATTATCTGTGATGTTTACACGATCGTGCAGACTTTAAAATAACTTATGCGCATGTTCTGTTTAACATAATTTGAACATTAAGTCGTTTATCGTCAGACTTTTTATAAGATTTAAAAGTTCTGAAATTTTGTTCAGATACATTATTTAAGTTATTATCTTTATTGCTTCATTGTTAAATGTAAATTAAATCTAATTTCCATAGAAACAATAAAAAAATAAGAGTTGTTCAAAAAACTTATGTTGATTGAAAAAATATTCCACAAAAAAGTATTTTAGCATTTATTTGATACTAATAAAAGCATCTTAATTCAATATTCTGAACACATTGAAAAAACCTCTCTCCAATAAAAAGTTATTGCATATACGTATATTTTAAGATTCATTTAATTCCAAGAAAAATATATTCATTTGGGCTGAAAGAATTTAAAATTCTGCAGAAATGAAGAATCCTGTATTTAATGAAAAGATATTGCATACAGGAGTATTTTAGAATTCATTTGATACCAAGAAAATATCTTAATTGAAAATTTGGAATACATTACAAAAACCTGTATTTAACCAAGAGATAAGTATATTAGGATTCATCTGCTGTCAAGAAAAACATTTTGTTTCAAAGTTTTGGACACATAATATACCGTCAATCAAAAGATATTATATACAGAGGTATTTACTGTATATTTTATACCAAACAAAATATTTTAATTAAAAATTGAGAACAAATTATAAAACTTTATATAATAAAAGATTGAATAAAAAAGTATTATAGAATTCATTTTTTATATCAACTTGTTTTAAATGAAGAAGACAAGCATTACAACCTATTATTCATACACTTTAATACTCTGATGTAATTTAAAACTTGGAATTAATCTATTTCCTAAGGAACCATAACTCTTTGAATGGACAGAAATTTCTTGAAAACTGAATCAGACAGCTACGTCAACTGAATCAACATTGGATAGTATGGAATATCAAGATTCATACTTTGACATATCAACTAAATTAAAGGATAATTCCTAGAAAATTATAATAATGCCCCACTAGGCATGTTCAGAAGGTGGGACAATCCGTGTCCCACCGCCCGCAAATGGTTAAGTATTCGATAAAGTTCAGATAAAAATAGTCAAATTAATGTATAAAAATCCTAGAACAATACTTATGGTCAATAGATCTTTGTAACAGTTATTTTTTTTTAATTTTGTTATGTTATGATTATATAAATGCGTTTTATTATTTTTATTTATCTATGTTTATTTGTTTCAAGAAATATTATTTACTATTGTAATTCAAATATTAGTTGTTTGATCTGTCTCATTAATAGATATAGTTAATACACTGAACATATATCATTATTATAGATTATTACCGAACATAAACATGGCAATAATTACCAAAGATTATTTTTTTTATGTTGTTGCCGTCGATTGATTAAATTAAAATATATCGATATATATATAAATAAATATTTGGGTGCAAAAATGGTCGCTAATCGAGGCAATAATAATATTTCTCACTCTCGTTTGCTGTGTGTCTTGGTTCACTTTCGAATGGCTGCGGAGCCGCGTTTTGTCCACATTACAGTTTTTGAACGATAATGTAGGGTAGTAGGCCAAGTAATCATTGAAAGTGAAAATAACGGAGCAGCGTTCTTTGCATACGTAAAATAAAAATTCTCACTCGACATATACATACAAACACTTACATATACATACACAGACACACACCAAAACGGGCAGCATTCTTTCGGTTCTGTCTCTCTTCGACCTCTTCGTTATTAAAAATCGCGTTGGTCAATTGAAAGAGAAATTTTGCGGTTCTCCCACGCAAACACTGAAGCCTGGTAGCTGACCCACAACATTGCATCCATCAACTGTAAACATTATCATTGCCAAGAAGAAAATAATAACAACAACAACATTTCATTAAAAAAAACAACAGCGTATGGACGTTTTTTTTTTCTGGATTATACGCAAACATAACTTTTAACATTTAAAATTTGTAAGGCGTACTCAAACCAAAATAAAAAAAAGAGGAGAGAAAAAATAAATGCGAGTGAAACGCCAAGGCATCACCTCCAAAAATACAATTATGAAAGTATCTATTTTATTCACACGGATTCGTTTTTTTTTTGCAGATTTCTTTATCTCTAAATCTCAGAAATAAATCCAAACATCCGTGAGTATATAATAATTTCTAAATCTAATAATTCATACAAAATAATTAAATTGTACATATTTTTTCGAAATTATTCTATAATTTTTTTAATGTTAAATTAGAATTTAATACTAAATTATTATATATTCTGTGGCAGTTACGATAGTACAAATTTTCTCAAATAATAAGTAACTGAAGAAAACAAGTAATACTAGTTTTAAGGTGTCAAATGTTTGACAAATATTTTGGTGAAAATAGTATATATTTGTATATTTCGCAAACCAAAAAAAAAAAACTTGCAAACACACGTCAAAAAACGGATATATATATATTGAATAGTCACTCACATTCATTGAGATGTGAAAGTTAGACTTCATTAGAAACGTTTTACCATTATCAATGTAAATTCAGAGATTTGCGTAACGATCTGGCCTTGCTCAAGAAGAGTTAATTAGATGGGGGAAGATCATGTGTCGCGTTTGGCAACTTTAGAAATGGATTACCTTGCGAATTACAAGACAATTAATACAACAATTGTAATATCGGCCGTTTTCTCAACGTTTTGACGCAACAACTCGCGAAGATATGCTCTAAATAATGTTCCGTAACAGATGGAATCTAGTAGCTTCAATTCATTTCATATACAGATTATTCTGTTCTATTTGCATTTACTCGCATTGTTAAAGCATCCTTCTGCAATTAAATGTTTTGGTAGTAGATTGTGAAATATCATTCTTATTTAAAAATATAAGGAATGATACCGTTGTGTTATATAATAAAATTTTGCTTCATGTTATTGATTTCATAATATTCAATATAAGTAATACGTTAAATTAATCTCAGTTATGTAACACATTATTAATTAATTTGAAAACTGAAGCTCCAATTTGATATTGATCTTAAACGTATATTAAATTATTATCTTACTAATATACATATTTAACTTGGAATTATTATTACCATTAACTATATCTTACGTTATTTCATCATCACCGGCTTTCAGTTTCATACTTTTGTATATCGAATCTTTACACTCTATTGGTAAAAGCTTAAAATTAGGTTTTTAATATATAAAATTTTAAACTTACAAAAACAGGTACATCCGTAGGTTTGGGCACATAATCCTTATTCAATTCTCCCATCTTCCCATCGGCGGCCACATTCACACCGTAATACTGTTCCCACACACTCGGTTTACTGTCATCACCGGCTTTCAGCAGACTCTTCTTCAGTTGGACCGCAGGAGGAGCCTTCTCCTTGTCCAGCAACTTATCGGCTTTAGTGCCGCCCCGACACAGTGTCCCATAAATCATCGCGTTTCTCACCCCGTTCGGTACACTGGCCAGATCTTCATGAACGAACGTTGGCAGAGCGGAGATCTCGAAATGCGGCTTTGCATCACTGAAACCGCTGCTCGACGAGCCTGAAGGTATTTGATAGATCTCCTCGGCATCCGATAAAGTCCTTAACCTACTGCTCCACTCCGGCGAACTTTGGCTGGAGTTTCCGCTGGAGGAGGTGTTGCTGAAAGCCCGAACCACCGAGTTGACGTTTTTCGAGTTGGATAGGTTAACGCAAAGCAACCGCATCTCCTCTTCTGTCACGTTTTTCAAAGCTTCCAGACTGGAGGCGATCTTCTCGTTGACTCGTTTCAACATCTCTTCCGGACTAAGAACGCCTTTCCCTTCCATCGTTGCATTTATATTGGTCATCAGTTCAATCAGAACTTCCCTGATTGAAACCTCACTAGCCGCTGTATTGACACTCTCCTGTTTATAATTTAAAGAGGTGTAGAGAAGAACAGCCTCGTCCACTAACGAGTCGTATTCGGGATTTCGTTTGATCGGCTCGGGTCTTTGGTGTCTGTTGGGCCAAATCGGTCTAGGAATGGTGAAGTCTATCCTACCTTCGGGGATGGTGCTCAGGGTTCCGGAAGAAGCGCTGCAGCTTGACTTGTTCTTGGTCCTATTGTTCGATGCTACTTTTATGGATTTGACGTAGTTGGAATTCTGCTCGATCGTTGTGACTTCGTTCAGTTTGACAGCTTCGACATATGCTGGATCGTTGGTGCCGTGGCTGCCTCCGTATCCAGAAGAGCTCGACTTTTCACCGGTCGGTGTGCTTTGGCGGGACGATCTACTAGCTGTAAACGGCTTCGTCTTCCTCGGTATCCTTCCTAGAGTCGTGTCCCGGTAGGTGTCGATGAATATTGGGTTCACCCTGGAATGCCGAGACTGGTATTTAGCATTGATTGAATCGCAGGGCGCGTGTTCTGTTAGTGTGCGGTGATACTCACCCGTTTTTAAGACTACTACCACAAGTTCCCAAGTGCCCACACCCAACACCGTATTCCGCGTTTCGAATCGCGACCCGCGGCAGATACACTGACCTGCTCACTGAGTAAATCCCTTGATCCGACCTCTTCGGATCGATCGCTGCCAACGGATCGTCCGTAACATCCGACCCATGCTCTCCAGATACCCTTCCCCTCGGACCCATCCATCTCAGCATGATGTTTGCCCAACTTTATCATCGAACATTTCACGGACCAAATTTCTTCTAAAAAGAAACAAATAATCACAATAACTTATCAAAATTATACTAAGACCTATACCAAATACATCTTTCTCAACAACAACAAAACACTCAAATGTTAATTATAAGATTTAATAAAAAGTGACACTTTATGTTAGCTACACATATGACAGTGTACAAGATGTCTCATTTTTACAAACGTCAATATGCATAGCACACCTATCAGTTATATTAGAAACATGCAACATTCGAATCAAGGCAATATAATTCTACAAAACGAAATTTGGAATTAGTTCCTTAAGATAATTTCAATACACTAGTATGTAGATGATATGAATTAACTTACTTAGTAAGAAGTACCAAGATTTCTAACAAATCAATGTTCTTTCAAGAACATTTAAATGTAAAGTTTAAATAAACTCCACGATGCTTCAATGAATTGTGTAAATATAATATTACATAATATTTCTTAAGATTAGTATCAGAAATTAAGTTAACACACATTTCACCATCCGGATACAGATTAATACAAGTTAATCGGCAAGTATGGCGTATTCAGTGACCGTATTAATACGTAAATATAAAGTGTAGGCAATGTCGCATTATTAATTTATCAAAACCGTTGACAATCTTAATTGCCTTTTTAACGTATTTATAATTTAAATTGGCGACCTTTAGGCAACGAAATTCCACTCAGTCGAGCGCGAAATTCAAGCGTTATTCTACTGATTTATTATGCAACGCAAATTAAGACACACACAATAGCCACCGACTGAAAACAAACAAAAAGAAAACCAAACTCAAATACAAGAATTTTTCTAAATTTTAACATAAACTTATCACGCTCGCGGTTTAATTACGCAATTAATTGATTTCGCTACGCGTTTCGTCACCGCTATTTGACAACAATAGGTGAACAGCAACATTTGACGGTTTCACGACTTGGTAGGAAAAATCGATGTCGAAATGACGCAATTATGAAACGGCCTTTTGATGTTTGCGCAAACTGTTTTCAAGCGACAATCAATACGGATCATCATCTTATTTGCACACATCTGCAACGGTCCATTAATATTTGTAATAGGCGTGAAATTGAGCTGAAGAAGTCCTCCGAGGCTGCCGGTCTTACGCGTCGAATTCGCAAATTGATGATGGTTTTTTCTTATTGCATGATTACTTTATTTAATAATAATATCCAGGCTCTTGATGTTTCTTAACCGAAAGAAGAAGAAACGATACCAGAAAAGAAGAAAACGCGCGGCGCTCGAAGAACGAAAACCGTATCATTATTATATGGGCAAACTGGTTTTCGAGCGTTTGCAACTAGTCCGAGCTAATTGCGAAACCGAAAAACGCATTCGGTTTGTTATTATTTATTATTATTAGCTTTGTTGCCATGGAGATTAATCCTGTGCAGTTGGCTTAAAGAAAATATGAATATTTCCGCTCTACTTGTTTAATTATTTCCATCGCTCATTCGCTTGTCTTTATCGATAGATAAAGCACATTTTGATAGACTTTTTTTTAATGTTTGAAATCGGTATTGGATTGATCATTAAACAATAATGACATTTTGAAAATATAAGCAAGTTACTTGCATACCGAAAAAAAAGAGAAATTTTGTGACGTTGCAACGAGCTTACGGTTTTCTGCATAGTTTCAATCTAGAATAATTGAAACAAATTTAATGGAAAATACGAAATTACCTTACATATTTACGTGTAAATGCACTTATAATTTCAAGTGGATATTCCTTTTTTTAAATTAGTTCGTAATTTGAAAATTCCCGCTTTAATCTGAATAATTCAAATTAATTAATAATCTGTATGTGTTTTAATTAATTTGTATTTACTGAAATGATACCTCATATAGTGCGGCTTCGATCAGTCCGGATTCACTATATGTTTCAAAATTTACAAAGAAAGAAATTTTAATTTATTAAATGAGAAAATAAAATTTATACAATTGGTGCAAATTTTTTTTTTATAAATTTACAAAAATGATCGTTTTGTCCATTTATAAATCTCTTTATATACAATTATTTTTTGAAATGAAAAAAAATAGACTTTATGAGTTTTATTATGAGAAAATTTGGAAGATATTTGTAACTATTAACAATATTTCTTGCAAAAATTATATAACAACACAAATAATTACGTATATAAAAGTATGACATATTAATTACTGTAATATATTTAAAATTTCAGCGTTCATGGTAAAAATTAATTAATTTTTTAAATAATTATAAATTAATTTGAAAAAAAAACTCACTTTACGAATTTTTACTAGAAAATATAGAAAAGTTGAATTGCATATTAGAAAATAGATCAACTAATAAATTCAGTTCATATTTTAATTCAATTCTAAACTTCTTTTTTAATGAACGAAAATAATCGTCAAATAATTGTAAATCGTTTTTAAAACAATTCACGGATAAAAAAAATTAACGACATTTCTGGACACATTTTTTTTATATTGCAATGATAATATTACGAAATACGACGATAAAAACCAATGCCGAATAAATCAATTTATAATAATATTAGAATACTGTCTGAACATCGACAAAAGAATACTATTTTTTTTACATTGAAATCTTCTATACTGCGTGTTTCTTAACTTTGCAATTAATTAAACAAACAGACGTGTATTTTCAAATTCGGAATGAGAAGGACGACGATCTCAGTCTCGAACTAGGATGAAGCAGAAGATGTTCGTTCGTTTTGATTTCGTAACGATTCATTGTGTTTTTCCCATAGCGTTTCGATAAATATTAATAATTTCGATCTCATTAAAGCCTACGCGATTTTGAAATACTTTATACGACCGGAATTAATTTCGAATTATATTTTGAAACATCTTCGAAATTAAATATTCATATTGAATATAGTAAATGGTATACAATTTGCACGGTTTAATCTTTGTATTTGCTACTGATTTTACTAATTGGATTTTTTTTATGGTGTGAAATTTTTATATATGTTTTTTTTTTCAATTATTTATTGTGAAATTGTATTGGAAGATTTTTTGATTTAGTAGGGATATTAAGAGTTTAATAGTCTGTTATTTATTTGTTTCAAACTATTTTTTTTATTATTTGCATTAAAAAGCAATTTAAAAATTAATCATTCTTGTTTCATAATTTGATTGAAGATGTAAATTTTATTCTATGTGTAAACTAATTGAGAACACATTTATTTTATTTGAAGACATCGGAAAGTTACCAAACTCTTTAATTGTTATTATACATGAAAATTACTGTAAAATAAATCATACAAATCTACTGTGAATTTTAGTAAAAATAGAACTATAAAGTATACATTAAATTTCTAAAATTAAAATCAAGAATTAATCTAAAATATAACAACAAATTAATAGAAGTTACTCTAGAAATGAAAGGAAGAATGAAAAATGTTTAAATTACATTTTTAAATATAGATTTTTTTAAATATTTATGAATATTTATATTGCTTCAAATCATGTATGTAAAACATGAATATAAAATATTGTTGAAAAGGAAGAAATAAAAAACTTGGTATTTATAAAAAATACTATTTAAAATCATTTATGTAGAACTATATTAAAAATAAAGAAATTAAGTAAGAATGTAAGATTTTTAATGTTTATATAAAGCTTTATTCCATTTAAAAACATTTGTGTTATGAAGAGAATTTAGTAAATGAAGGAAGAATGAACAAATTAAAGAAGAATGTATCATGTATGATTAATATGGTAAGTATAATAGTATTATAAAAAATAATATAATAATCTAATTGTCTAGACTCTAGAGTTTACAATCTATATATAGAATATTCTAGTAGGAATATTTTGTAACTAAATACTTGTTATATTTGTTTAGCAATTAAATGTTGGCAGGATAGTAGCCCAATTGCATAATATCATATATATCAATGTCAATTAATAAGAATATTGCTAAAATTCAATACAATAACAGCTAATGGTTGGAAAGGATTATGAGAACACAATAGTAGCAACGATTTTTTTTAAAGTCAATCAATTAGGCTACAATAGTTAAATGTTCTGGTAAACATTTCGTATCCGCTTAAGAGTGTTGGTCCAATGAAAGTCCACGTCTTAGGAAAGAAGTGTTTCTTTTGGCAATAAATAATGAGAGCAAACGGCGCATTACGGAGTAAGCGTATAATAAACGCTTGTAATCTAATTAAGCTTTAGTTTAGGAGTCTTTCTTAATTTTCAGTTCAATTTGCTTTCACTTTCGAATAAACGATTAACCCGATCCGCGTGTGATTCATAAATAAATAAATAAATGCAATATGCTAATTTCATTTCTAAAACATTTAAAGATACAACACGCCGAAAATTATATAATTCCATTCAAACGAACCGATATCATCTCATTGATACTAAACACATTTTGTTCATAGCGTTGAATTTTTTTTTAAGATTTAGTATTTAGTTATGCAAATATATAAAGTTTGTTCAAACCTTTAAAATCTTTATGACTATGTTCTCTGAAACATGTTCTAGTTTTGGAAATAAACAAAGTTTGTTAGTAGCATTAAAGTCTATCATAAGATTACGTTTTCTGAAACATGGTTCAAATTTTGCAAATACATATATAAAGATTCACAGCATTAAGACTAAGATTTTTGAAATATGTTTGACTTTTAAAAATTTTCAAAGTTTGTTTATTGTGATATCTTTATTAAGTTTGTGTTTTCTGAAAAAATAATCTAAAAGTACTTAGAAATTAAGTTTTTTAAGCCTACCTTTTGCTGAAACATTATATAGTTTTTCAACTATTCAAAGTTCGTTTCTTTAAATCTTTAGTAAGTCTACGTTCTGTAAAACATGATTTAGTTTTACAATAATACAAAGTATATTAGCAGTGTTGAATTCTTTATTAAAACTATGTTCTGCGTTCTTTAAGATATGCTTTAGTTTTGCAAATGTACATATGAAGTCTCCATTAAGACTAGTTTTTCTAAAACATGATTTAGTTTCACAATCATTCAAAGATTTTAACATCTTTGAAGAA